GTGTGTGTGTGTGTGTGTGTGTGTTACTAGGATTGAACCCAGGGCTTTCACACTGAGCCGCATCCCTGGTGGGCTTTTTAAATTTTTATTTATTTATTGTCCTTTTGAGACAGACTCTATGCAGTTTAGAATGACCTTGAGCTCACTTTGTAGTCCAGGCTGGCCTAGCACTCACAATGATCCTCCTGCTTCAGCCTCCCAAGTGCTGGGATTACAGGCATGTGCCACCACGCCCAGCTTTATTTTGTATCTTGAAAAAACAGGGTCATTTGCAGTTTCTCAGGGAGGATTCAAAAGTTGTGACCCTCCTGCTTCAGGCTCCCAAGTACTAGAACTACAGGCAATCACCACTGCATCTGGCTCTATATTGTCTCTTAAAGGGAGAAGAACCAACAGCTACTTTATAGGCTGAAACAGGAAGATGTCAAAGTTTCAGCTCAGCCCAGGTGGGGCTTGAACTTGAGATTTTCTTGCTTGGGTGGAGTCCTAGAGTGCTGGGATTTATAAGTGTTTGCCAATGTGCCTGGCTTTTCAAAGTTTTAAGATGTAAAGTATTACCAGATTCAATAATTTAATTTGATTTGTTTTGTTTTGTCTTGTCTTGAGGCAGGCTTTCTCTTTATAGCCCACACTGGCCTCAAACTACTGATTCTCCTGCCTTAGCCTCCAGAGCACTGGGCTTACAGGCATGTACCACCATGCCCAGCATTATGATTCAATGTGTTTTTGTTTTTGGGTTTTTGTTATAAATTACCTTTTTGTGTAATAAACCTTTTCACCTTGTAAGTCCTGGTAGACCTATAGTAGACTTCTGGTACTCTTTACTATTAGAAAAATTGGAATTAGTAATCCACCTTTACTGAGGATCTATTTCTTCATTGGTAAATTATGGGTAATAATTTCTACTTTCCATGGAAATTGTGAAAATTAAAAGTGAGGCAGTAGGGCCGGGGAGATGGCTCAGTGGAATAAGCTCTTTGGCAAGCGCAAGGGCCTGAGTTCAATCCCC